TTCTCTCTCTCACTCACCGTCTCCCACTCTCTGTGTTTTTCTATCTCATTCTCCCACCTTTTTGTTCCCTCTCTTTATACTTCTCGGCCCCACCCACCTATTGCTTACAGCCATAGCCACCTCTTCTTCGTCAGCCGAAGCCTCCAGCGACCAGAGACGAACTACCAGCAAGACCCAATGTGATTTCCAAGAGATTTTACTTTCCGGAAAAAACAACATTCAAGAATAGGAGGGACTTCAAAAAGTTCACCAGAGTTGTGTGCTTTGCTGTTGAAGATGTGACATAAAAGCAACAACAATTGGGTGGTGGCGGGATTAGTGGTGTTGGTTCAGCTCTTGAGGATAAGCCCGGAAGATAAACCCGTTATGAATTTTGTTTCTTTTGAAGAAATTATTGATAGGTGTTTAATTTTTAGATTATTTTATGGAATTTATTGATATGGGTGGTTTGTTTGTATAGATATCTGAAACGGGTTCTTTTAATTCGGATTGAAGGGATTGTACAATGTTCAGATTTTCCTTCTTTTTTACTTTCCAGTTTCCCCACTCTCTGGACTCTCTCTGTCTCTCCATTCTATTGGTGGATAGAATGGGGGCCAGCCATATGGACTCTTGCCTTATGTGAGTACGAGAGAATACCTAAAATGTTTTCCTTTAGGCTTTCCTTTGTGGTGGTTTCAGCCTTTAGTCTCTCAGTCATCGTGTGTCACAGCTTCAGATACTAGAACAGATTATTTTTTCAACTTGAGCAGAGAAATATATCTTTGTTCTTTCTTTCGATTTTTGGGGTTACAGGCGTTTATGGGTTTTATGTTGACGAATATAATCATTGAAAATGCAGCAACATCTTCTATATGACTTGGGAGGATGTGTGCAGTCATCTGAGCACTATCCAGTACACATTTGAACTTACTCTGTGTGTGTGTGTTAATCTTGATGTTTCACACATTTTCTGAAATGGGCAATTATCTCAACTCTTTTTTGTGTTTGCCAATGCTCCAGGCTGTCCAGAAACTGAATGAAGTAAAGAAACTTGAATCCTGTGCTCATTACAATGCTGATTTTGGGAAGGATTAAGATCCTGTGCATTCAATCTATAATGACCTGAGTGAACTGTAAGTGCAATGTATTCTGAATCAGGAAATGTGTCTGCTTATGTGTTTTATTGTTTGGAGGAATACTTTATCACATGCATATGCAATTTGGATTTAATGCTTATATTTGTTCTCATTATAAAATTGCGAAAAGGATTACATGTGATAAAGCTTGGAATTGTATCCTATTCATTTTCATTTTATTTGTTTGAAGCATTATTAGAATTAGTTATGAACCATCTTAACAATTATTGTACATAGGATTTGTACATGTTAAAGTAGGGCAGAGCTTTGTTTCTTCCACGAAGTGTCTAATTAGAGTAAATTCCCTTTTTTTGGAGTAGGATCTCTTTTTACAAAGTCGAATGGTGCAGCCTAGACACTTCCTTTAATTGTCCCTATTCAACCAACCGCACATTATTGTAATGGATTAGAGTAAACAGAGTCTTAAGACATGGATTTAGTTGGAATTGTGAACTTCCAATGGCAAAGCTATGGGGGATAGAGAAAAAAGAGAGAAATTTAGTTGGGCAGATGATAATAATCACATATGATTGAACTTCCTGTAGATGCATATTCGTCTCTTTAGTACTACTAATTCCTTCCATGACTAATAATTGCATATGACGATTGAATCTTGAACAGACTTGCGAGTTTTCCTTCCCCAGATTAAAAGGTGTTGTTTCATTTGGAAGCAAAAGGGGATTCTTACTGTTGACAGAATCTTGGTCCAACCAAAGTTTGGATGCAATCTTAGTGCTCGTCTTATAACCTAATCAACTGCATCTTGCAAATGCTTCAAGCACTAGCTCCTCATCAGCGTTCTAATGAATGCATTTGTAATTTCCACTCTACCGCTTTTTGAAAGAAAGAAAGAAAAAAAAGTAGATAAGGAAAGCTGAAAAAATTAATGACTGCATTAGAATAGAAGTGGAAATTGGTATATGGCAGGCCCATGATCATTTGATGGGTTGAGCTCATGCCTTCCCATCTCAGCTGTGTTACATGTTTCCTTTAAAAAACAAATAACGGTGACATCTTACATCCGCTACCTCAATTGTGCACGCAAAGCATTCAAAACATCATACATTGGAGAAAATGATTTTGTTACCTCTGAAATGCCTACTTTTTTATTTATGTGTGTGCATGTATGAACTGATATAAGAAAGACATTTGGGTTTGCATCAAGAGCTAACTGAACTTCTAAAATTTAAAACCACTGCGGCGGATATTTGTGGTGTTTATGGTTCTTTGAGCCTGATTTTAACATAATCCTCAAACAAGGCAAATCTCATTACTATATGTCTTGCATCAAGATGACCAACAAAAAACTCTCCCTTAATATTCCATTTTTGTGTTGATAAACTCCCTGATCACTGCTATAGATGGTCTTCCATAAGCACACTTAGCAATCAAGGACTGTTGAAAGGGCTTCTCCAAATCAATCATCTCCTCCTTTGACCAAAAATTAACATTGTGACCTTTATCAAAAATAGCTTTTTTTGGCATTTTTTATTCTGAATCTGTCATAGATTTATTGAAGGCAGTAGTTTGGCTGTCCTTAAGAATCGATGCATAGGTTTTGGGTTGTAAATCTAGTGGTTTTGGATCTGGTGGTATATTTAGAACAAGATGAGGTTGTTGAAGACTCATGAGGTTGTATGGATGTCTTCTTATCTTTACTGCCTCTCCTTCCATAGCTGGACTCTATTCAAATGGTCTTATGCATCAGCTGGACTCTTTTCAAATTCTACTTATCAACTTTAGAGTTCATCTCCAAAGCTGAAGTCTGGACTGTTTCACTGAAGTGGTACTGTTCCCGGTACTGTGCAGTGCTGTTCACAGTACTGTTTAGCTTGTTTAGATTTAAGAATTTATTTCTTTAGCTTTATGAATTATTTCTTTTCTTTATTTTTAGATGCATTATGATGTAATTGCATTCATTTTATTTATTTATTTATTTTTACTCATAATGTATTTAGATGCATGTCGGGGTAAGGTATATACGTCCCCCTCGCTAATGTGCAATTTTTTTGTTGTTTCGGCAGATTTTTATTTGAGTTAATTGAAGCAATTTGATAATCTCGCAGCAAACACACCCCACAGCCTCACTCTTTGGGCTGAGATCCATCAAGTATTTTAAACCATTTACCTTGCTGGTTTCTATATTTCCAAATTAATGTGGGTTTCTTCAAATGATTCAGTGATCACTCTCTTGTTTAAGGTGATTCTTCTAGATGATGGGCTTCTTGACTTAATATTTTAGTTTGTAAGAATGCATAGTTTTGTTTCTGTTTGTTGTTTTTTGAATCTTTATCAATCTTGAGCTCAAATCTTTGCTTTAAACAACCCAATCCAAGTAGCGTATAATTTATCAAGTATTTAATTGGTAGATTTTGAGGTGATACTTTTTTTGATGTGTGTGTGCTTACAGATTTTCTTGTAGTTTTTTTGACTTATCTGGCATAATAAATTGAATTATTTGGAGGCCTCCACTGATGTCACGCAAACCTAGCCACCACTTCCCCCCCCCCAAAAAAAAAAAAGAGACATTTTATTGAAAGAATCATATCAATTACAACAAGCAAAACAGAAACTGTTTCCAGTTTAAGTCTAGCTTTTTAGATGTTTTTTTTTTGTTTCTGGTAATGTGCGAGTTATTAGTTTTGGTGATTTATTGAAACCTTAATTTATATTAAGGTTTCAATAGAATTTGTTTGTAAGTTTTCAAATTTGTAATATTCTATGCATGCCAACATGAAACCTTAGTACCCGTTCTAGAATTCACATCGGATATATAGTATTCTTTGCCGATAGAGATTTCTTCAATTGTCCAATTTCAGGCAATTTGGGAATGCACAAGTCTATATTGTAGTTAGTATCTCACCAGTTAATTTGTTACATCTCTTGGATATTTTGTGTGACAGATTCCATTGTTCTCTGTGTACATACTAGACGGGTGTAGCAACAACACCTAGTCTATGTCGTGTACTTAGAGAACTATGGAGAGATGTTGTCGGATTTCTGTTAGAGATGTACGAAGTAGTAAGAGATGCTTCCTATGATATAGAATGTGCATTCCTGAATGGAATAGGACCACCTACCAATATAGGAAGGAGTTGATGGCATAATTTGCATGATACTTGGTAAATGACATTGATAAATATGTGATTTTGTAGGCTATCAATTATGGATAAGAGTTGGATGACAATTAGGCATAGGCTGGATTCGAAATACATTGATGGGGTCAAATATTTTGTCAATTTTTCCATGGAACGTTCGAGTCGAGATGGAAAAATTCGATGTCCACGTAGGAATTGCATGAATGCAGAATGACATGATGAAACTGTGTTTGTACGTGAAAGGGATCATGACCTCTTACACGACGTGAGTACACCATGGAGAACCTATTCTTATGAATGTCACCCAATTCTTTGAAGATGATGATGATGATAATAGTGTTGAGGATGATATGACCGACAGTGCGGATGATGATCGAGATGAAATACCTGAAATGTTGGAAGATGTTGGTAGGAGAATGTTCATGAATAATGATTTAGAGGGTGTTCGTGTTGGAGAAACATATGAGGGTGTTGATAGTGAGGAAGTTCAAAATTTTGAAAAATTACTGAAGGATGCTCAACGTGTTTTGTATCCTAGTTGCAAAAAATATACACTGTTGTCTTTCTTGGTTAAGTTGCTTCATTTAAAGGTATTGAACAAGTGGAGTAATAAGTCATTAACACTGATGTTAGAGCTATTGACAGACTTTTTACCTGAAGGTCATATTCTTCCAACGTCTGTTTATGATGCTAAAAAATTCTTACGAGCTTTGGGATTGGGATACGTGTCTATTCATGCATGTCGGTACGATTGAACCTTGGGAAAAACAATTGATTGAGCACAATGGAAAACTTGGAAGTTATGTCTACCGAAAGAAAACTTTTGAATGAGAAGGTGAGTTGGCATTTGATTGAGTCTTGTCAAGATTAATTTGTTAATGATCAACAAATGATTGACCGATCCAGATAACATATGGGCTCTGTTATTTTCTGTTTCTTGGAAACTTTCACCATTTGATTTTTCTGTAGAGCTAGATGTCATAGCTGTGCATTGTTCTATTGTGGACTTTTTCAGCATAATGCTGGCCGTGCTGTTTATGATGATGCTCAAAAGAAGATGTCTGACATACAGATGAGAATTGAAGCAAAGACTTCAAGTTTAAAAAATATTCAAAATGAAATAGCGAAAAGCAAACTTAATGCAGTGGAAGCTCGTAAACTAGAACAAGTATGTTTTATTGACACCCGTTTTGTACTTTTTCATGTTCTGTGGTTCATTCATCACCTTCATTGGATATGTTGCAAGTACTTTGACTCTTTACAGGATTCCTGGGTAGAAAAGGTATGTGCATATTGTTATGTGAAACCAAAGATCAAAATATTGTTTCGGTGTATTGTTTTGGTTATCTAGGAAACGGAAACGTTTTGATGAGTTTCGGAAACGTTTTGACCCGTTTCGAAAACATAATGAAAAAAATAAAAAATGTAAGAATTATTTTTTTAAAACATTGATGAAAATATATCAAAATATCTTTAAATACCTTGAAACATTCTAAAACAATTGTGCAAATGTATTGAAATATTATAATACATTTAAAAACATTATGAAATACCTCGAAATATCAAAATTTCGATTCCATTACTATTTCGTTTCGGTCTCCTTGGAAACGGAAACGTTTCGGACGTTTCGAAACAATATTCCCTTGTGTGAGACAAACCATTTTACTAGTGATTTGTTTTTATTTCTTGTGATCAGGATTTCTTTAACCTGCTTACTGTATTATTGTGCAATTATCTTAGCATGTATGTCCTGTTAAATGTTCAGATGACATTTTATGTATTTCTTACCCATCTAAAGATTCTTTCAGTATAAAAAAAAAACCTTTGTTGAGTCCACTGTTCTCCACCCCCTTTATTACTTAAAGTTAGCCATATTGTAGAAGAGATGGTGTCTTTCAGAGGAAAAGTTGCAAATCGTGTTACTTATTATACAGTTTTTTACCTGAAAATATAAATGGGGCTTGCTGGTTTGGCTATGCTGATGCTTTATAACCAAGGTTCAAAAATTATGTGTCAATAATGTCAAGTATTTCTCAAATTTAACCAAGGTTGCTTTATAACCAAGGTTCAAAAATAATTCTATCTNTGTAACTATGCAATACCATTTGCATATCTGTTTTCAGAGTGTTCACAAATAATTCTATCAAGGAGAAATATTCTTAAATATGAATGCAAAGAATATAAAATAGATTAATAGCAACCTAGTAAATTGAACCTTAGTCAGGGGGGAAAATTAGTTATCATGTTCTTATGCTGTCATGTCTATCTAATAGGCAGTAGGTTGGGAAACTATATTCATTATTCAAACATTAATTCTTTGATTCTTTCACAAAACTGACTCACCAGTCACCCCCAACCTGGTCCTACTATGTAATGTGTGTTAACTTGCCCCTTCAATGCATCATCAAGGGAAGCATTCTGTTATTGCATTCTACGGTCTACCTTTGTTTGTAAGGTTCCATTTCTTCATTCTATAAGTTCTGAAAATATGGAATTTCCAAATATAGGAAATAAAGATGTTCTTTTATGTCTGCATGTTTTTTGGGAATCCTTTAATAATTTCTTGACTTCTGTTTCTTATTGTTTGAGTTTCTTTTGGCATCTTCTTTGCATTCCTGCATAGTTTATCTGCCTTCTTTTAGATTTTCAAGTTCATCAATACAAAAGTGAAGCCCTCTTGGTTGTACTGCATCAACTTGTACATGCATTGTATCTTATATATGGCCTGGTACTTGGAATATCTAGAACTCTTCAAACTATTGCCTCCTCATTTGCATTAATTTTTATCACTAAACACAATGAACTTTTATTTCCGGCCTTTGCAGTTGATTTTGACTTATAATCTTTTTGAGAACCTATCTTTATTAAGTCCAAATGTTCATTGTTTAAGTGGCTCCCATTGCCTCAAATTGAATCAAAACTGTTAACTTCTAGCTACCCATATGTTCTATTAGTACAACTGATGCACACAGCTGTAGATGACATGGTTTTGTATAAAGAAATGAAAAATCACACGCATATTTAATTTTGTGTGACTCCCTTCTTGATTTACCCATTTTTAAATGAATGCAGGCCCTCCTTTCTGGAAATTGGTTCTGAAGCAATTTGATGATTTGCTGGTTAAGATTTTGATTGCAACTGCTGTTGTTTCTTTCCTTTTGGCAGTGGTTGATGGAGAGACAGGATTAAAGGCCTTTTGGGAGCCTTCTGTAAAATGCAATAACTTTTTGCATGGAAAATTGATATCCACTTCTTGATTGTGTACATGCTGCTTAATATTTATTACTCGTGTTGTTTCTATAAAAATTTGAGCTTATTGTATGCATTGTGATTGATCTTACAATATGGCCTTGTTATGTTTCTCTCTCTCTTGGCGTTGTAGTTGATATGGTGACATTTACTTGTTAAAGTTGATCTTTGTTACAATGATTTTTTCTGAGGAGATTCCTGAAGAGACTTATTGTTGGTTAATAGGTCATCCTAATGATATTGGCTGCAAATGTAGCAGTAGGGGTAATCACAGAAACAAATGCTGAAAAGGCTCTTGAGGTAAGTTGCTCAGTTTTGAAATTGTGATAGTGGCTAGCACTGCAAAGGCCACTGCACTGATTTTCTTAGTTTATCCACACTACTTTATCAACACTTGTTTTCATTGTAAATGCTGCCCCTCTCTTTCAATACTCTTATTCTGTTTTCACTGATTTTTTAGAAAATGGTATTCTGCCATTGGATGGAAGGTTGGTTTTGCATCAGGATTAGTTCAGGATCCCTATTGCTAGGAGGAGGAAGGTTGTGTGTGGTGGTCAGTTTGATTATGCAGATCTTGAATAGTGTTGAGCTTGGAGATGGTATTTCAAGGCATAGAGCTGGACTGTTGGATCTCTTCAAGTTTAAGAGACATTAAATGTAATTAGAGATGGTTTAAATCCTCTTGAAGGATTAAAGTTATTTTTTCTTTTTTTAGAACTTCTTGTTTTTTGATTCTTGTAATTCATTTTTTTTGGAAATAAAGTTTTATTTTTTTTTAAAAAAGATGTGAAATGTATGTTGAATGGAAAAGATGTGAAATGTATTGATTATGTTAGTTTTTTATTGAACACAGATATTATTGATATACAGGTGAAAATTTTTATTAGAATATCATTTTTTATGTAAAATAAAAAAAAATGAACTTTTTTGTGATGAAATTAAAATTGTCACGAAAAATTGTAGGAACAAATTGTCACGATTTTTATACGTTGCAAATGTATTTATTTAATTATTTTTTACTTTTTTTTATGTAAAAAATTATTCGTGACGATTTTTTTACGTCGTGAAAAATTAATTAAATTATTATTTTTTATTTTTTACATTGGGAAACATATTTTAGCTATAATTTTTAAAATTTTGGTGACGTTTTTTTTTCGTCACAAAAATTTTGTTTTTGTGATGAAAATAAATTTGCATCGCAAAATACTTTATGCTATAAGGCTATTGAGACGGACACGGAACAAAAAAAAAATATCACAAAAAATAATTTTTGTTGCAGTGACACCTTTATTTTATGCCATCATTTTTGCACTGTTTGTGGAAAAAAGATTTTCATCATTCTCCTCTGAAGTTTCTTTCACTTCTTTTTGATTGAAGGCTATAATTAGGGGCATAAGTCAAAATCCAAAGAATCAGCAACAAGATCCTTTACCCCCACTTCTTTTGAAAAACCCACTTTGTAGGAAGGGATTGGAAACTTACTAGAAAAACATGCTTCGCCTTCTTAAAGAAAACTAACAGCTCATACCTTTCTCATTGCCCAATAGCCATGAATTCATCAAACCCTGCCTTCACCTCCTTTACAACCCGTTAATGGAGTGACAAAAGAAAACCCAAAAAGTCAATCAGGCGAAAATGCCCACCACCGTCAAGGCCAGGAGGATTTGTGAAAATGAGGCTCTCAGCAGGGCCGTGGAGGAGAGGAGGCAGAATCCCCAGCTTTCGTTCGCCCGAGATCCACAGAACCATTATTGGGAGGAGAAGATAAGAGAAGTTCAAAACGAGTTGGGAAAAGTGAAAAAGATAGTTAGCAACATATTCTCGGAATAAATGGAGGCTTTGATTTAACAAACAGAGTCGCATTTCACTCCCGAATTTTAGCACTTATCTCTGCCTTCCAGGTTTAAGATGCCAGCCATGGAGGCCTTCGATAGAACTAAAGATCCCTCCAACCATCTCAATACCTACAAAAAACAGATTGGAGCTCCATGAGTATCAAGACCATATTTGATGCTGAGCCTGCGCTATCACCCTCAAAGGCTTAGCTCTGGCTTGGTTCAACAGATTAGCCCTATCTTCCATTTCTTCTTTCAAAGAACTGTTGATGCAGTTCATTTCGCACTTCATCGATGCGAGGACCCATCTCAAGATGGCCTTCTATCTCCTAAGCGTCAAACAGAAACCCAAGGATTCAATAAGAAGTAATGTGCAATGATTTAACCAGGAGTCTCTCTACGTAGACGACCTTGACGACAAAGTTGCCTTGATTGCCTTCATCGCTAGCCCTGGGCTCTAGTTATCAGATTTCCTTTTCACTATCTCCAAAAACCCTCATGCTAGCATGACAGAGGTGCTAGCAAAGGTAGAAAAATACATCAACGGGGAGGGATTTCCTCCAAGCAAAATGTGGCTCTATAGTCACAGCAAGGCAATAGAAGGACAAGACAAGAAAGGACTCGAGTCCCAAGGAGGACCGTAACTGGTATCCCAAAAGAATAGAAAATGTTCAAGATCGTCTGGCACTCCCAAACCCTGACTTCCAAATGAAGCTCGCCCCACAATATTACTCACCTTTGAATGTCCTTATAACCAAATTCTGCATTAGTTTTAGAATGAAAAATATGTGAAAATGGCCCTCAAAGATGAGATCAGACCCAAGCAAGAGGGACTTGAACAAAAGTTGCCATTTTTGTTAAGATCACGACCATGACATCGATGATTGTTTCTAGTTGAAAAGGGAAATCTAGTTCCTCATCTGCAATGGATATTTGGGGAGGTTTATGGCCTGAAATAGTGATCACCGAGTTGAGACCTCGACCCTCACAATGAACCTTTGGTCATCAAAGTCATCATCACCAAGAAGAGTGTTCATCGGATTATGGTAATAAGAGTGTACAAGAGTTCTGATTGCAAGGATTCTGTTAAAAAAACAAAGAGAAAAAAGAATAAAATACAACTAGAACATGAGAGGGATCACACCTTGATCAGTCCTATCTTCTCTTCCCCTAGTTGAGACCTCGACCTTCTTTTCTTTTGCCAATTCCTCAAGAAATACTGGCAAGAGAAAGTCAAAATCCAGTGTAGGAAATTTGGTTTGAGCTTGCTTATGAAAATTCTCAAAGCCATCAACAAAACTATTGGTCACATCGACATTCAGCTGATCCATCTTTTCTTATGTACAACCAACTAATCATGAAATACAAACAATAAACCTTTTTAATATGTATAGAATTGCTGTTTTTACAAGTTAATCAATTGTCCCCTTCAATACTAGAAGCGGTCGCAACGTGCCCTCGATCCTGAGGGTTGTTCGGAGCAGGAAGTGTTTCAGTAGCTGTGATCAATGTTCTAGGCCTTTTGTTAGGCGTAGAGATGATTGCCCCTCAGTGCCTGTCTGCGATCAACTAGAGATTTTCCCACCAATTCCTAATCATGAGCCATCCTCACATAACCTACGAAGAAGTTAGAAAAACACAGTTTGACAAATCGAAGTAGAGACGAAGCCTAGAGAAAGATATCGCACCTAGGTTTCTAGGGACCTCCCACATTCGAGGAACACGGATAGTCATAGTTGTCTTATTGCCACACTCCTAGCCATCCCTGGATACGAACACGAAGAAAAACGTACGTCTCCAACCATTGGGGGAAAAAGGGAGGTCAAAAATTAGCTCAGGCATTTCGGCTCTCCTCTCAAAACCGTGAAAAATTGGAAAAAGGAGAAGGTACCAAACAGAAAAAATAAAGAAATTTAGGGACTGGAGGGGAAGACTCTACCACATTCTGGCACCAATAAATTGGAAATGCCACCAGCAAACCCCATCCCTCTACCGATAGTCTAGAGGGGCAAAGATTGAAATAATGAAGGATTGATCTAATGAACGACTATAGAGGAAACATTAGACTAACTTTGAATGTCAATTCAAAGAAATGGACCTTGTGGAGACAAAAAACGTTATATTGGGTCTCAAGGGGTGGAGCATGTACTGAAAACCCACTTGGGAACTCATAGTGTTCCTTGATGTCGGCAACTTTAACCACAGTGATGACACTGGTTTCCATTAGGGGAAACAAAATTAGGTCCACTAGGTCACGTGAGGCCCCTTGTTCTGTGCAACAGAAGTTGCAGCTACTGTTACACCAGTGTCAATGAAAAACAAAGAACTTACCTAGGAAAAGAAAAAGCTTTGGTGAGAAGAAAAATTGACGAGTTTGCCTTCTGCCCTCAAGAAAATGAAAGGGTGGTAAAATTTAAATAGGATTTTCCATTTTGTCGGTTCATCTCCCTGAGATGCATTTAATGCGATGGACAAGCTTTATATGCGCTTGAAATCCCAATCACCAAGTTCCACGAGATTGATACGGTGTGCAAATCCAAGTGCACACTATGCTCCATAGTTGAACGACAGTGTAGAAGGAGTATAACTGTCACAGTTATGTCCCTTTAGTATTTCTCGACAATAATGGTTTGTTCCGAAAAGCCTCGAATTCCTTAGTTTTTCAGCTAAGGATGAGCACCACAAACTCCTAAGCCTTCCGGTAAGGTGAGCTTTATAAATTGCTAAGCTTTTCACCTAAGGATGAGCACCTTGCACTTCTAAGGCTTCCATTAAAGATAAGCTCTATAAGTTCCTCAGCTTTTCAGCTAAAGGTGAGCACCTCGAACTTCTTAGCTTTTCGGTAAGGATGAGCTCTATAAATTCCTAGCAAGGATGAACACCTAGAACTTTTAAGCCTTTCCAATAAGGATGAGCTCTATAAATTCGGAGACTTTCTAAGCTTCCAAATCGATCCTTCAAAAGCACACAACCAACTAAAGGCTAAATATGACCGACTTGCCTTGACTACAATAAGACAACCAAGCACAAGCACAAATCAAAGAGGTGTGTGGGGGCAGGAGATCAATAAACTCTCCTGTATGACCTTATAGAAATTCGAGGAATGAGGAACACAAAAATAATAGTGTTTTATATTCACAGGATGTCAAGTAGTAGCAAAAAAATTATAGTTCGATAAACTCAAGATCTCCTTGCACAAAAAAAGAAAAGAAAAGAGAAACAAATTTTCAACTAGCCTCCTTTTCCTTCGACTCTTCTTCTGGAAACACTGGTACGAATGAGTCAAAATTTAGCTCAGGAAACTTCTCTTGGCTTGCCCCTAGAAGCTCTCGAAACCTTCAACAAAGCTATTGGAAGCCTCCTCATTGATCTCCTTTATCTCCTCATCCTTGGTCTTTAAGGATGCCTCCAATCTCTTTACAACATCTCCCAGCTCAAGCAGTGCTTTGGAAGCCTCTTCCAAATCAACCTTCAACTTCACCACCTCTTACTCGACCTTTGGGTTTCTCAGATTTAGCAATATCTGTAGCAGCAGTCAGGTTGGCAACCTTTGAATCTGTGGATGCCAAATACTTTTTGAGGAACTCTTAAGGAAGCTTAAGCACATCCACCTTATAGTCGACAGCTCCTAGGCACTTTTTGTGAGCAGCCAACTATAGGGTTTTATCCTTGCATAGCTTGAGCAAGTCTTGTCCTTGTAGGTTAATGGCTTTGACATAAGCAACGGATTGCAAATAAAGAAGAAGACGATCAAAAAAACCAAAAAAAGAGGAAAAGAAAGGCCATGCTGTGGTTAAGCTATGGATAACCTGGGCAACCTTGTTGTTGAAATTAGTTTTCATTATGTCACGGAGTTCTTCCTCCAGAACCACATCAAGAAGAGTCTACATCGCCGAGGTGGGATTGCACAAAAAGGGAGGCTTATCTCTGACTTCAATCGGATGATCTGAGCTGACAACAACTGTTACTTTCCCAAGATTCACTGAAGCATAAGTCTCAAATTCGACAGAGACCCGAGAGATAGGAGAAGGATTATTGGTAGTTTGAGAAACAGGATCATCTAAAACCATAATAGGTTTCTCAATAGTACCTATTCCTTTAGGACAGGTCAGAGCTAGGGGATTTTACTTAGAAGGTTGAAACTTCTCATGATGAGGAGCTAAGGTATCCCCAGAGTGCAGATGAACAACCACTTCTAACCTCTTGGGGTCAGGGAGATCAGCTTTCTTCGGTAGCCGCTTCCGTTTCCTCTTCCTCTCTGACAGGGTTTTCCTCACTAACTCTTGATCAGGAGCCATCACAGTAGAATCTGGAACAACAACAGAAGATAAGGGTTTCTCAATAGGAGGACCAAACACGTATTTGGCCAAATCTCTAGAGTCACAAGCTCTTTAAAAGACCTAGAACCGTGATCTTCATCCTTAATGGTTCAGATCAACTCTGTTGCAGTAAGGGGAGGTCAAAATTCTGCAATTGAAAGGCAATCGAGGTCAACTTCATAATAATATATGTGGGAATGCATATAAAAGCAACAACCAAAAGCCTCATCCATATACCTAAGACTTACGCCTATTTCGAGGAACATCCCAGAGGCGAGGAACTCAAAGGATGTCACTGGCATCCCCTGTTAGCTCCCAAGTGTCCCCAAAAACGAAGAAGAAATCCATCTTCCAACCCTTATGCGAAGTGGGAAGGTTAGATATTAAATCCCCAACCTTCACTCTCCTGGAAAAATAGAGGAAGCCCAGAGACGGAGAAGACTTGAGCCGGAAATAATAGGCAAGCTCAAATAAAGGGTGTGGGAGGGGGAGGGTATCAATACCACTCCCCCACCAGTGGACTAGTAGACCCACCAAAAAGCCTCACCATTGGGAAATAATGTAGCTGGGCAAAGAACTTCACAAATGATAGGATGCATTGAGAACCCGAGGCCTGACTAAAAGGCAAACACAAAAAAAAAAAAAAATTATTCCCAGGAACATAGAAGTTGAATCGATCTTCAGCCCTAGGAACTTAAAGTACTACCCCACTAGGGAAACCATACTGCTCCATGAGGACCTGGGCCCAACTGTTAGTCATACGACTCTAAGTTAAAGCCGCGCTATAGGTTAGGTTAGATAGATCTCACACAAACTTTCTCTTTTTTGGATTTTCTAACGAGGATGCATTACTTGTTTTTCCCTTTCTCCTATTTCCCGGCTTACTAGATGACTCAATCTAAAGAACCCCCTTCAATTGGCTCAAGGTGGTTGCCTCAAGATCGAGGACATGTGTAGAAACCTTTACAAGCCGCTTGGGAAGGTCTTCCCCAATTTGAACTAAGGTTAAATGGAGCTCCTCTTCCTGAACCTCCTTAGAATGGAGATCCTTATCCCTGGGAGAAAAAGATTCTTCACCCTCTACACTACCACTAAGCATTAGAGAGATAGAAGAAGAAGACTTAGAAAAAATATAATCCTCACAATGGGAATCCCACACCATAACCTACAGTATATAAATCAAGCATATGAGAAGAAAAATCTTCTATGGCTCTTAGATTGAGGTTCCAAAACCTCACCATAGATAACCTGAACACCAAAAGGCAATCAAAAAAATGAGGGAGAGGCACGAAAGGCCCAAAGGAATTCCTAAAGAAACCAAACCTAAGGATCACAAATTGAAATCCTATAGACCACCACCAGGGATCTATTCGGTCAAGGGCTGTGTAAGGAGAGAGGGACATACCTAAAAGATAAAAGATCAGGCATACTGGACAGGAAGACGATGAAAGAAGAATAGCATAACATCGAAAGCTTCGAAGAACTCTTTGTCCTTTCGATAAAAGGGTTGAGGGCATTATTGAAATAAAGATAAGAAGTTCAAATAACTTTGGGTTTTGGCGATTTAGTCACCTCATATGCACTTAATGTGCAAGGCATGCGTTTGAAAGCATTTAAGATCCACCGTCAATCGAAGCTATGTGTAAGTCTATGATAAAAGCATCCCAAAAATCAAGGCATCAGGAACATTGCATCCATCATAATTGCGCCTCCTCAACCAATTGACCACATTGCATCCCATCAAAGTTTTGATGAATAACGCTCATTCGAGATATAAACTTGGGTGCAGCTCCTCTGTTGTTAGTAAAAAACAACATAGTATGTTGTTAATTAAAACGACAGTGTTTTAGTTTGTTTGCATAGGAAAACAAATCCCCCCAAAATAAGTTCTCAAAGTCTTTATCGGGAGGTTCCATCTACAAAACATGAAGGCTTCTCTCTCTAAAAAGGTCTTCCTCTAGTCTCAGCTGAGTCTATGAGTCATTATGTCTTTTACTCCATTGTGCCGCTACCGGAGAACTCATCCTCCTCCACCTTCACTATTATACTATTGTGTTTCATTTGGTTTCTCGATTATATCAACTATCAATCATCAATATCAGTGGAGGAATGGGTTTCAATTCCTTCTTTTTTGGAGTCCCATTGAAACAAAAAGGAACAGGGTGTAAAATCAACCTTCATGGTCAATAATGGGGAAGCTCAGGTGTTGAAGCAGATGGGTAAATGGCCTAACAGACACTGATGAATTGGATTTCAGTGATAGCCCATGTTGCATCCAAAATCATGATCTTACTGTTTGTAGTTTGACAGTTAATGAAAACTATCCCTCCGTTCAAATTTATATGTATGTTTGATATTAATAAATGACGAATTTAGACCCAAAGAGAAGTCATTTCTCTGCACTCCCTTGCACAATCTCTCTACACACTTAAGAGCCATGATTATCTCTCTCTATCTCCCTATCTCTGTTAAATTTTACAACAAATTAATGGGTAAAATCAAAATGGTAAGTGCCAACGACTAAGCACCCAGTGAACAAGAACTACCATCCCTCATGCTCGCCTGATTTTCAGAGAAGAAGCTTGCAGAAAGAGATACATATCGCAGGTCTTGGGTGTGTTATAGATGGAGATTGTGGGTGCTGATAAGGTTATAAATGATACAATACAAAACTTGTTCAAATTTCCTAGGGAGGGAATTTTATAGAAAGACATTAATAGTAAAATTATGAAAGAGAACGAGAGAGAAATGAGCCCCAAATGTGCAGAGTTCATGTAAAGAGGGTAGAGAAGGTACGTGGCACAAGAAACACAAATCGAAAGTCTTATGATTGTCACAAGAGAAAAGGCTAAAGGAGCTTATTGCAGAGAATGAAGGCAGTGGACATTACAATTGGAGCAAGGCCTTATAGGGACAAAGAAGAAAAGTGGATGGGCACAGTGAAGGGATTGTAGGAACTGGAAGTAACTCAGTTAGCAAGTGAGGCAGGAAAGGAGAGTGCTGAGACCCGGATGGAAGTGGAGAGTGCCTAAGAACCAAGCGCTATCATTTCACTTTAAATGGATGAAACATTGCCGTTTCATTTAACAGCACAGTGTGCTGTTTTTTGCTAATAGCAAATGAGCCTAACCCTATAAACTCTACCTTCGGCACAATCTAACTCTAACTTGGAGCCAACATAAAACTGTCAAAGCTCAGGTTAGGGAAAACTGATGATAACATGGATAAGAATCAGACTCTCTTCCAATACTTGACTTTGACAACCTGACACGACCATGAAGTCCAAAGTTGACAAGATCATTCAACAGCATGAGTCCCTTGCTTACATGATCAGAGTTCGACATAATCTAGTGCGGCTCGATTACAAAGCTCAATCGGGGTGAGCTTTTTGCTTTATCTGATCAGCTAGGCTAATGATCACTGAAGCTTAGAGATGTGCATCTCTGAGGAAGAACTAAGTCCATCAAGCCAGTCCAACCTTGGGTACAAAGATATCGCCTCCAAAGTGACATCCTATTGCTTCTAGAAGGACATGTGGAACAATGTCAGAGATCTCCTAACGACAAAATATTCCCCTCATAATTCTAACTGATTGAGGTGACCACACAATTTGGAATAGAGACAAAAATTAGTCCCTGTATAAATAGGAGTATATATCCTACTTATTAATAACTGAATTCTATTGTATCCATCTTCTTCTCCAAGCAATTGAAACCAGAAAGCAAGATACTCTAATAGAGTGGAATAGCCAAGCCCTTTAACTTGGTAAACCACTAAATTCCATGAGTTGTTTTAGTTTTATCTGTTGTCATTTCTTTGCAATTAAAAGTAGTTATTCAGCTCCACACCCTTTAAACTATCACACACACTTATGTTCGAATCTCTCTACAACCTCTTTGTCCTCACACCTTTATTTTACACCATCAAGTTCTAAAATTTGTACTAGGAACCTAATAATAATATTGCAATTCAACCAAGTAGAGTGGTAAAAAATTAATTTTGGTTGATTTGGGCTTTATAGATGTTTATTTTATTTTTGGTAGCAGTTCGTCTCTTAATTCTCTTCCCTTGCTTTCTTACTCATATTTTTGTTGATCATGTTCATAGCATTGTGATTTTTTGATTCACCACTATTTGGTCATGGAACAAGGTTGATATTATCCAAGCGGAATAATGGGCATGTTTTTAGAAGAAACTCTATCAAAATTTGTTATATAGTCTTTCATGCACGTGTAATTGCTAGTACATTTATACAATAAAGTAAAGTTGTTTTTGAATCCTAAAGAATAAAATAGCTCAGTTCGTTTCAAGATTAGAAAAAATTTCATTTGTTGGATCACGTTACCCCAACATAAAAAGTGGCTCAGATCATTTTGAAATTAATTAATCTAATGAACTAAAATAAGACTTGAATTTTTTTTCCCGCCTAAATGTTTCGATCATCCCCTTAAGGCTCTCACCAAAAATCTGTTGTCTCTCCCATTTATCTCCTTTCCACACCGAGCTCTCTAATGCTAAAATCTTTTATATCCACTCCCTTTATATCCTATGCTTGGACTATAGCTTAACAGACTAATTCAATACTAAATCAAAGTTTTAACCAATATAGGTTCGATTTTATTCCAACAATAACTATGTAATTATGTTAGGTTCGAGTAATGATTTAACATCAGGTTTATTATATGTCTATTGTCAATTTATGATGAGTCATGCACAATAATGTTTTTGTAGTGGTAATGAATTGCGTAATGGTTTCATACTATTAAAACAAGTAAATTGACGATATCTTAAACAAGCCCTAGCTGTGAGATCAGATCAGGAGGTCAGGAAAGACATAGGGAACTCGGAGAACCAGGGGTAGAGCTCCCCTTGGGGAGATCGTGACAGGATCAACTAGGAAACAGCTGGATGACTACGAAAATTGAGCCCAATGCATGAAACTCTCAACCAACTGAGATTCTCTCCTAAAATCAAGAAAGATCCCATGAATAATTGGCAAAGATCTCGGCTGAAATCCTACATAATTGGGAGCAGCCTTATAAATACTATGTAACGCCTCATTGAGAAGAGGACCCAAAAAAAACCCTAATTAGACCATTCATTTTACTAGAATACATTCGAGTAACCAATAGAAAAAAAAAGGAGCAAGAGCCTCCATTAGAGAGTGAATTTGTCGAGCTCCAAAGCCGATGAACCACTATATTTCTACTGTGTAAATTCTCCTACCCTCTAAGAAACACATCATCTCTGTCATTATGAAGTTAGCAGCCTAGATTCACCTTTGGTCCCACGCACTCTGTTCACCCACGTCAATTTGCACCATCAGTTTGGCGCCGTCTATGGGAACGACTGTTCTTGTTACAAATAAGCTGATCTGTCAGTGACTGATGGTATCAACACGGAACATGAACAGAAGCCAAACAAACTCACCTCGGATGGAGGATCAACAGGGCGCCACCAATGGCAGACAGCCCGTGAATGTCCTAGAGACTGATCCTCCCATGGGGAATCTCCCCATGAATAACGAGATAGAGGCCCTTCACCTCGTCAATCAACGCTTGATAAAGCAAAATGAATAGCCCTTGAAGCTCTTACAGCGCCCACAGGAGGCACGTCCAGCCTAAGAAGGTCAAAACAGTCCTCGTCATAAGAATCAACAACACCTTGATCCACTCAGAGAAGACAACGAAGGAGGGGAGAACAGTCAAACCTTGGGGTAGGATCTCCAACTATCCCCTAGGAATTGCCACAATGAAGAAGTACAAAGTCAAAACCATGAAGGTGAAAAGAATGATGTCTTCCCTTATCAGGAGGAGAGAAGGGAACAATATTGGGAACAACACTTCAAGGGCATCCAACAAGAGCTGAGCCACATGAAGGAAGTGGTCAGAAATAAAACTCCAGTTACAATGGACGCCTTGGTGCAGTAGACTGAATCCCCATTCACGCCTGAGGTGTTGCATTTTTCCCTCCCACCGAAGTTCAGGATGCCACAGATAGAGTCCTTTGATGGAACCAGGGACCCCATGGACCACCTCCATACTTATAAGAACCAGATGGAGTTGCACGGGTATTAGGACCCCGTACGTTGTCGATCCT